CTACTCTCTTACTAGTAAATTGTATATTACCTACTATTTGGATGCTAAGTAAATGCATCATAACAGATACTGACACGTAATGACTAGCACGTAATAAAAAAAATTAAGCTTCAGTTTTATAAAAATGTGTAATATCACATAAGCCTCGTAAGTCAGTTGGTCGAGTTACCATGGAAACGAATTACCAGACGTTATTTTGACACATTAAAAATTATTAATCTGTCAGTGTAAATATAGTGGTAATTTAATTTTTATTTTTGTAAACGAAAATAATCGTAGAAAAAGTATAGTACACAACTTGAGTTGTAAGCTTATTACATGCTTGTAAAATTACTGCGCTCGCCGCTACGCGGCTCGCGCGCAACTTTTTTACTCGCATGTAATAAGCTTCTTACAACTCTCGTTATGTAATGTGTATGACATGTTGCGTTTACTCATATTAATGATTCTGATATTTAACAATATTTGAATTGTCAATATTTTTATTTTCCGATTATATTGTAAACAGCAAATATTCTACAAATACTACTACTAATAGTGAACAATAAATATTACTTTGTAAACAATAAATTATATTGTTACAAAGCAATAAAATTGATGATATGTACTCAGTTCACGAAAAATCGCAATAATGTTATATTCAGGCAATAATGCGAGCACTGTCATTTAACGTAAGATATTATAATACACTCCAATTCAATTTCAGGTTACACAACAATTTAAAGAATTTCAATATAGTTTTACTGTCATCCTTCCTAAAAATAATTTAGGATCTTTTCCAAACATAAAACTATAAGAAATGTTCAAACAATAAACCATTTTGTACTAAGCAGTATTCCACTCGATTGTAAAATTCTCGTTTAACATTAGCGAGAACGCGTGGCGTTATTTTTGCACAGTCTTCACTTATTCGCATTTTTAATGTTTCAATATCTGTAAATTTTTGGTCAGAATAGATTTTTGATTTTAGATGCCCCCAGATAAAATCATCATTTGGTGCTAGATCTCCCGATCTCGGGGACCACTTCATATTACAGTCAGATCCAATCAAACAATTATTAAAGCTGTTTTAAGGAATTTCTTAACCTCTCAGTTATTGTTCGCAGGGCATCCATCCATTTGAAATCAAATTTCTTCTTCATCTGGAGCTATTTCTGCAAGTCTGGGTAAAACCTCTTCTTGTAGCAAGTCTAAAAATTTTTGATTTTAAATTTTCCTCATAGAAAAATGGTACAATAATATTGTGCCTAAATATTCCTAATCAGACATTTATTTTTCGACGATATTGGGTATGGCTTTCAATAATATCCTCAGGCTTTCTTATCTACCAAATCCTATAATTTTGAACATTTGCTTCATTATTTAATGTAAATGTACGTTCATCACTAAATAAAATGTTTTTTAAAAAGTGTGTGTCTGCATTAGCCCTCTTTAAAATTTTATAACAAAATTCCGCTCGTCGCTCAGCCACTACTTATTTTAGTTGATGACATTGAAATTAACATAAAAGGAATTTATTCCTTTTCAAAATTTTTAAGGCCGTGGAATTATGAATAATAAACTGGTCTACAATGGTCTGAGAACTTATTCTAGGATTTTCTACAACTGGCGTTAATACATTTATTTCATTTTGATTTTCTAAATTTCTTGATACCTCAGCAATATTGTTTGTATAGGTACAATTAGAAATCATGGTCCCAGTATTTTCAAAATTTTATAAAATCCTTTCAATTGTTAAATGACATGGAATTGGTCTATTGGGATATCTTACGCTAAATAAAAAACTGACAATTCGCGCACTATTGCCAGAATAAAACATTTTTATTCTTGCTACTTTCTCCTCAACTGAATACATTTTTTAATCAACTGTATTGTTTTTTAAACACTAAATCACAAAATAAAAATTTTGACAATTCAAATATTGTCAAATATCAGAAACATTAATATGACCAAACGCAACTTGTCACACACATTCTTGCACTGCGTGTAGCCTGACTTTAAGGGGTGACCTGAAAAATGTATTAAATTCTTGCAAAATTTTGAATACTTTTAATTCGTAGAACAATTTTAACATTTGTTTTCGATGCATATTTCAGTGCTCCACAAATAGTTTTCTTGACTTTTGGTGTAAAATAATTAGAGAAGCAGGAATTCAACAATTTAGAATTTCCCATTGAGTTTTCTATGGCCCGTTTGAAGATTCATCACCCTATATTTGCTTTAAATATATCCTCGAAATAGAAAAAAAAATTGGAACGTAATAAAGTACACATATTTTAGACCTAATAAAATGATCTGTCTTCTATTGATGCTATTTATATCGATCTGTGAACATATTTTTAACAAGAAATTATAACATAAAATTTAAGTGTTTGTAAAGTCTCACTACTCATCAAAAGATCTTCGATTTTATGTTATCATAGTGCTAAAAAAGCTTTACACATTTTTTAAAATTGTCTACCAGTTGGCGGTATGTCTAGTAGATATTAAGGTACGTTTACATCTGACACTTATCTCGATCAATAAATGTCGAGTCTCAGACATAAATTTGCTTTCGTATTTACATGCTGAGAGAAATTACTAGAAATTTATGCCATTGATAAGTATACGAGAATTATACAGTTATTTGTATTTTGCGGATACTTGACACTTCTCTCCTGTATCATCTTTCTTTACAAAGTGTTTATTTCATCTCGGTATTATGAAAACATTTATATAGACGGAAAATCGCGGCATGTTCAATTATTCTAAATATGAAAAGAAAGAAAAAACGTTCTATGTGGATTCGAGAGTATATTTTGAGGACGCGAAGAATGGTGTCTACAATCAGTTAATGACTAAGCTCATTATTGAGGATCCATCAAAGTTTTCTAATTTTTTAATAGAATGAAGCCTGCTGATTTCGAAATATTCGCTTGAAAAATCATTGTATCAAAGCAAGATACCAAATTTATGACGCAAATAGTGTAAAAGAACGACTTAGTTGAAATATATATTGCCGATATAAATTTTTCACTGTTTACATTAGTAAAGATTTCTCTGACACAAATTTCATGCAATAAGTGTCAGATCTAAATGTACCTTTAGAGTATTCAACATTTATTTCTTGATAAGATCTACCCTGTATTCATTTCTTGAACCTTTAACCTTGTATAAGTAGTAAGAGAAATACTGATCAAAATGAAGACGTCTGATAACACAGACAAAGTAAAAAAATATATTTTTCTAAAAGTGTTTCTTTACAGCATCAGTTTTCTCTCAAATATATTTTTGTTATTCTTATTAAATTGTTTATTTATGTCAAGTTGGAAGCTGTTTTTAAAATACTTCATTTAAATCAATTTAAAAAAGAAAAGCAGAAATGAGTTCTTTAATAGTTACCGTAGTTAGTAGTATTTTGATAAATAAGTATTTCTATTTGTTACATTTGACATTTTTTTTTAATAAAATCTTAAATTCGATTTTTTATCTTTTTTTAATCCAAAAATATGTTTCAATTCCTCAGCTCAAGAAAATATTTTATATATTAGGTTACCAGCCATTCTTATTATTTAAAGGTCTAAATATCTAAAGAAAATGTATTAAATAAGCTTATATTTACTATTTATTATACAAAAAAATAAGTAAGGCTTTGCAAATTCTTTTTTTTTTCACTATAAAACTTTTTACTTTTAAATGATTTAATTTCCTATAATTTACTTATGCTCAGTAAGAATGTTGGATTTTGTTCTACATCTTCACGTGCCATATCAAAGTTATTCGATGTTGTCGATCACCATTTCAAAAGATTCTCGATCTTTTGCCACATTTAATAATTGTCCTGCATTTTATATATCGTTTTTAACCAAGAGCAACCAAGAGAAGTTTGTTTTTGTTCTCTTTTGTTGAAAATAATATTTGTTTGCCAACCCTCCTGATGGCATGTGCCAAGGAGAACAAATGTCGCTAAAAGAGAATATTGTTTTTTTTAATGGGAAATAAAAAGGCATTATTGATTGATTTATTGAAATAACATTTTTGCTGATTGACCTACTATGTAATTCCCACAAGATATTAAATAATACCAGATAATTAAATTTTTAACCATCAAAAAAATGATATATGTGTTTGACTACAAGTATGAATTTGATGGTAATACGATCTTCAGAGATATCGCTGCTGCAGTATATATTTCTTTGTCGATAACAGTTTTTAGATAAGATGAACCATTTTTCAATATGTGTGGACCACACAACACCAAACCAAATCAGATGGCAAACATCAAGCCATAACGGTTCTTCTCAGAGCCAACACTGACATTAGCGAGCATAAATATCGAGGACATCACTACAGCTAAACAAGACATCTTATCAGAACTTTGCAAGAACACGAAATGTGAGGTATTGTGCATCCAGGAAACCCACAGAGACCTAACTGCAGCGAGACCGAAAATCTCCGGTATGAAACTGATTGCGGAGATACCACACAGTAAGCATGGAAGCGCGGTATTTATGAGAACTCAAACCATAGTCTCATCTGTGGGAACAACAAATGTACACGGTATAGAGATAATAACCACTGAGATCGGAAAATGCACAATAACCTCGGTATAAAAGCCCCCAATCAGCCTTTTATATTTTCACCCCCAACTAACTTCCAATCACAACTCAATCAGCTTGTACTAGTAGACTTTAACAGTCACAGTTTACTCTGGCGCTATGTTGATTCGGACGCAAATGGAGACGCAGTAGAAACATGGGCCGAAACGAGTGGCCTCACGTTAATCCATGATCCTAAACTTCCACCATATTTTCAGGCAAAGTTTGGAAAAGAGGATATAACCCGGATATCTGTTTTTCAAGTAACAACCTCGAGACACAAGACCGATGTACCAAAATAGTATATGGCCCCATACCAAAAACTCAGCATAGATCAATTGGTATAAATATCTTTCTAATTGTTAGACCACAAGTCCATTCTGCTCCAGAAGGAGATTTAACTTCAAAATGGCAAACTGCCAAAAGTATGCAGACATGCTAGATTCTGAGGTGCTACGTCATGAACCAAAAGTATAGAACTACGAAAATTTGTAGAGGTACTCAAAAATACGTCTAGAAAAGCTATTCCTCGAGGATGTAGAGAACAATATGTTCCCGGGACTTCCAGCGACTCCAAAGAACTAATGAGAACATACGAAACCCTCTATTTCACTGACCCTTTTACTAACTACCAATCACAACCCAATCAGCTTGTACTGGGAGACTTTAACAGTCACAGTTTACTCTGGTGCTATGCAGATTCGGATGCAAATGAAGACGCAGTAGAAGCATGGGCCGAAACGAGTGGCCTCACATTGATCCATGAACTACGAAAAATTTGTAGAGGTACTCAAAAATATGTCTAGAAAAGCTATCCCTCGAGGATGTAGACAACAATATGTTCCCGGGATGTCCAGCGACTCCAACGAACTAATGAAAACATACGAAACCCTCTATTTCACTGACCCTTTTAGCCAAGAAACGGTTGACTGGGGAGCAGTCTACTCCAACAGCTAAGTCAAGCCAGATACTAACATAGTGGATTGAGACCCTGGAAAAAATGGACATGACACATAGTAGGAACCTTGTAAAAAACTTAGCGGTGATACAAAAGAACATAAACCACCTTGCAAGGTTACAGCAAACCAAGTCGCTTCTCAACTTCTTATGAATGGAAGAACTACGAACCGATATAAGGACCCAAACATTAAAAGAAGATTGAATTCGGAGACAAACCATCTAGGAACTTCTTTTACACTTAAAGAACTCCACGACGGTATGAACAGGTTAAAAACGGGAAAGCTGCATGTGTAGATGATGCAGTGAACAAATGAAGCATCTAGGCCAAGGAGCAAAAAACTGGATCTTGCAATTTTATAACATGTGCTGCAAAACCTGCGAAATTCCAAAATCATGGAAGGAATCTAAAGTAATGGCCTTGTTAAAACCAAGAAAGGACTCGGAAAACCCCAGTAGCTACAGACCTATTTCGCTGTTGTATCACTTTTTCAAACTATACGAGAGACTCATACTCGCCAGAATAGAAAATACGTCGACAAGCACCTCATCCCACAACAAAGAGAATTCAGAGCCGGCAAATCTTGCACCGGTCAAGTCCTCACACTAACAGAACACAATAAAGAGGGCCTTAAAAAGCTTATGACCAACTAATGACCACCATCTGAGAAAGGTCGTATATTCCTTACTGCAAAATAGACGTTTTCTAGTTATGCTGGAGGGTAAAGTAAGTAGGTTCTTCGATGCAGGTTGTCGATACATTCTTCTTCTTCTCCCTGGTCCTCTCTTTCCAAATACCTTGTCCTGAAGAATCAGTTGCAACAAGCCATATCTCTGTTCATTCCTCATAAGATGGCCAAGATATTCTAGTTTGCGCTCTTTGATGGTGTTAATAATCGCATTCCTTGCCTATTCTACGTAGGACCTCAACATTAGTCACACGATTCACCCATGAAATTCTTAAAATACGTCTGTAAAGTAAGTAGGTGGGGAGTTTAAAAACCGGCCTCCCACAGGGAAGTGTTTTAGCACCAATGCTCTTCAATATATATACAAACGACCAACCTACGCCGGCCGAAACCAAGCACTTCCCCTATGCTGACGACCTTGCAATATGTGCTCAAGGAGATAGTTTTAAAGAAGTGAAGGAGAAACTTGAAATTGCCTTAAAACAATGACAGCATACTACCTGCAGAATTCCCTGAGACCCAATCCCTCTAAAATCCAAGTCTGTGCTTTCCACCTTGGCGCAAAGGAAGCCAAGCGAAAACTCCAAATTGCGTGGAATGGTAATACATTAGAACACACAAACCAACCTATATATCTTGGAGTAACTCTGGACCGATCCCTCACCTACAGACAACATTGTATAAAAATGAGAGGGAAAGTAACAATTAGGAACAGCATACTCAGAAAGCTAACGGGAAGTAAATCCTGGCGATTTAAAAACAATGGCACATGTGTTTTTCAACTGCTGAATATGCGTGCCGATCTGTCCACACCAAACAAGTTGATACTGCACTAAATGAGACATGCAGGATAGTAACAGGGTGCATGAAACCAATGCCACTTTCAATCTATATAAAGGGGGTCCCAGGTTCAATGGACCGGCCAGTCCCTAGATTTTTAAAACGTGGACAACTATAAATAAGATAATAACGGGGGAAAATCAAACATGCCAAAATGGAGAAAAATAGACCAAGATAATGTGAACTGTGACTGTGGAGAAACACATATGGAACATCTTCTTACATGCAGAAACTATCCTCATCGATGTACCCTCGAAGATTTGTGGCTCGCCAACAAACATGGAACCAACATAGCCTGTCCCTGGGCCGAAATTTTATAATTGACATGAAAGTAGCGTAGGTAATATGTGTGGATGGTACCTTATTTTTCTAATATGTTCTTGAGCAGAGCTGATTAACACAACAGAGCAGTAAAATATTTACAGAAAGATGGTAGTAATATATTTACTTGGTCCACTAGTAATAAAGTTATCAGAATTAAATGGCAAAGTTGTCTTCACGCATGGTTTTGACTATAGCATCTATTTAAAGTAAGATTTTTCTATTTCTTTCTTACTTCCTATTATGCCGAACACACAATTAGCACACATATTTGTTCTGTCAGTAGTTTCATCTAAGGTGCGCTTAGGTCACAGGTGCGCTAACAATATCCTAATATCCAGATACTTCCATTTTCTGCTTTTTTTGCAGTTCATTTAGTATAAAACAATATAAGTCAGGTAGATAGTTTTTTGTTATTGTTGACTTATGTGGAATTGTTGTATGAATTAACTAATGATGACATTCTATACTTTTTCACAAAGTTCAGTGGAATAGCAGCACCAATAAAAGTTTTTCACAAATATTTATTAAATTTTGAATATTTTCATCCTGATGAAAGCTATGTTGTTATTAAAACTTGTTTTTGGTGAGAATTTTATATGTCAAATGTTTATACTTTGAAGTTGCTAAATGTTGTGTTACTTAGAACTTTCTGTGGGTACTAACATGAACTTCACAACATTTGCAAAAAAAGTATGTATTGTACTGATGTTTGCCAATATCTGGAACATATGGGGATGCAAAGAAGATGTTTAAAGAAAATGTATCACATGAGCTTATTTTAATTATTTATTATAGAAAAAAATTACCTACATAAGACTCTGTAAAATCTGCTTTCTTTCATTCATTATAAAACTTATTAACAGTTCATCTAGTTTTTCATTGCTTCTTGAAATTTGTCGTCTAATAGCCTGTTTTATCTCCTCTTTAACTCCCTTATCAGCACCTCTTGTACCAATTCGCCTTTGCCCTAAATGTGGAAGTATATCCAACTGAATCTGCCCTCCTTGGGTGGTCCATAGATATGTTAACTCTTCTAGAATATCCACATTTACTATATAACTTTGGAACAAATGGTACTGGAATGTTCTTCGTTGTTGGATGTATTCTAGGAGAGGTGGAACAAAGTCTTCTTCTTGAGGCCAATCTAGCTGAGTCAGAACAAAGATATGCCCCATACCTAGATCAGTGCTGCTGTGTTTAGGCATGTTTTCCTTAATACATCTTAACAATAGTTTGACTAAATATTGTAAAACATTCAGTCTTGTAAGAGGAAGATAATGTAAATGTTTTTGGTGACCTCCTATGATAAGATTATTACTTAAAGATCCTTCATTAGTAGGTAATAAAGGCAGTGCTAAAGTTATAGGGTCTAAAAAGTCTCTATAGTTCTTTTTATTATACAATATACTAGCTATCCTTATATATTTCTGTAAAAACATGGAGGAATCTGAAATTTTGTGTATAAATACTAAGGCATCATCATACAGACCTTTATACAAAGTATAATCAATGAGAAACCCTGATAATAATTGATCTAATTTCAAATGTGAGTTTAGTTTAATAAATTCCCTCCTTAAGTTTTCAGATGAGTTAATAAGGTCCCAACTGTTTAGGCATAACATAAAATTGTTCTGGATACACTTCAACTGTGGTTTTTCAACTGTTATGCATGGAGATGAAAAATGTGACATATCTGCATCATTTTTACGCTTCTTCCCTTTTGGTTCTGTCACTAAGTTTGGTAAACTAACATCTGAAAATGCTTCAACCATTATATACGAAGTAGCTGTTTGTCCAGGACTTGATTCAGGAGTTAAACTATTATTGTAATCAAATAAGCAGTGTACAAAGAATATTGACAAGCAAAACCACAGTTGCTTTTCATTTAAAGGATAATTCTTGGATTTAGTTTGACAAAAGGTTACTATTCTCTGCCAGTAAGTTTCTTTAGACCAATTATTTGAGAAACTAATTAGGTATGGTTCCCAACTCAATTGTGTTCCAATGAACTCTATTACACTAAACAGGCTAGCCCATGGATCTTCTATTTTTGTATCACTGTCTTGCAGAGCACCTTTATTTAATCCTAAATAGCAAAAATAAAACTCAATACTCTTATGTAGCAATTTGTGCAGAAGTTTTGAAGGTAAATCAACTTTAACTTTTTCATTTGCCAAAAGTGGTAACAAATCACAAACCAAAAGTTTTCTGTATGGATTAACTGGAAAGTTGCCATCAACACTATGTTTTTCAGCACTAATTAAAGTATCCACAAGTCGCGGAGCATTGCTAGATATAGCTGTTGGAAATCGTTGCAAAAGTAGCAAAAGCAGTCTACAGTGTTCCATAGTATCTTCACAATGATCTGCAGTGAAGAGCAACAACTTGTGTTGAACATCTGATGATAAATGCCTAAACATTTCACATAAAAATTGCTTTTCAGGATCGTTGTTATCAGCTTCAGCTCTCAAAGCGATTGTAAGTTTTTCTATTTCCTTCCAAAGTTCTTGGTGTTGCTGAAATTTAATAGTCAACTCGCTGAAACATTTCGCAGCCTCTTTAACATGTCCAGCATTTTTCTCTATATGATAGGCTTCGAACTGCACTCCGAAATTGTTGGGGTACATTATTTTTGCTGTAATCATCCATGCTTTAGCAGCAATAGGATTGTTTTTAAATGAAGATTTTGCTTTTTCAATAACGTAATCCTCGTCCGATATCTCTAAGTCAATCTCCATCGTAGTACACAAAACTATCAATATTCATTCAATAATAAAATTTATACCTCACGATTTGTTATTATTTATGACATGTACATAGATAAAAAATAATGGAAATTTATTTATTTACCGAACTGTTTTTTGAAGTTTGCAATATTTTCTAACCAATATTTTCTTCTTCTTTCTGTACTATTAGACATTATTTTGTTGAACACTGCGAATCAGCCAGTACATTGTTTTTTTTATTAACAATTATGGGTACTATTCTACTATTATGCTGTGGTCAGGATATGATAGGGGGTATATAAAAAACAGGTTAATAAAAATAGCAATAAAATTGTTTGTTAAAAACTCTATACGAAATTTCGCTAGAAAGTTTAATCAGAGAATTATTTCTTTTACATATCTTGTGGATTGATAATCATCGTTCTGTGCATCATCATTCTTCTTTTTGATCGTTGCTTCAACTCCTTCAACTCAACGATCATTTTAGTAAGGTTATAATTTTAATTAAACATTGTTATTGTTATGAAAACATTTTATAAATTCTTGAGAAAAGGCACTTAAAATGACAAAATGTTCATCTTGGCAGAGATGAAAAATGTGACGAGGATACCACCAGAGCTATTTAATATGAAACTGAATGACGCAATTGCTGGAGAATTAAATGAAAAGCTGGCTAATAAAGTAAGTCAAATGGGCATTTCGCAATTAATGCAATAGCAAATATGCTATTGCATTATCTACTTATTACTTATTTTTTTGTTAGGTAGTTCTTAATGTTGGCCTCTGCATTGCCCTGTACGATATAATCAGTCTTAAAGAATCATTTATAATACCTGGAGATGGAGCTTCTCACACTCGAGTAAATTTTCGCTTTATAGTGTTTCGACCTTTTATAGAAGAAATTCTTGTTGGAAAAATCAGGAGTTGCAGCCAGGAAGGCGTTCACGTAACTTTAGGATTCTTTGAGGACATTATAATACCTCCGACTGCTTTACAACATCCCTCTAAATTCAATGAAACTGAACAAGCATGGGTTTGGGAGTATGATACTGGAGATGGCAGTAAACATGATCTTTTTATGGATGCTGGAGAGACTATAAGGTTTAGGGTGACTGCTGAGGCTTTTAATGAGACTTGTCCCACTGGACCAACTACAATTCAGGATTCTCAAGAGAATACAGAAAGCAAAATACCATATATGCTTACAGTAAGTATATCATAGAATATTGTAAGAGTATCTGCTTTTCAACAGAATCCATTATGCAATGTGATGTCTATAGAGCTCTATAACTGATGTTGGTTTTCTATTTTTAACTTTGTTTTTGAAGAGTTGTACATCTCCCAATATTTTACATTCCCAATAACTCTAATAACTATTTCATCAGCAGCAGGTTTATCATCAGCTGTTTTTCTGCAATCCCCTTTCTTTTATTTTCTTTTTGTATTTTCCCTGGAATGTCCTTTTGTGATCATACAGAAATATTCTATGAAAAAATTCTATAATTTAAATTATTAATCTTCTTTCTTTATGTTTCAGGGAAGTATAAACGAACCTGGTTTGGGATTGTTAACCTGGTGGGACAATTAAACTTTTTATTACAAATATTTTTTACTTTTATTGTTGAAATAAATTACTTAAAACGCTAAAACATAAATTTTATATTTATCCCTTATGAAGCTTGTTCTTCTGGAAGATATTATATAAAGTTGTATATATAATCAATATCACCAATCCATTTCAAATATATTTTGAGGCATCAATTACAGAAAATTTTGTTCATTTCAGAAACATAAATGTTGCTTTCCTTATTTTAGCATCTATTTCGTTATGTGGTTTATTAACACTGGTTATCCAGCTTCCCAAATTTCTGCACAGGCTAATGTTGTGCATTTTTGCTTAATTTGGATGGTCAATGTTTGGTTTTCTTGGTATTTATTGCTTTTAAGTTCAAAGATTATGCTAATAAGTTTTTTAAGTAGATTTCACTTTCTGTTGTTACAACCATATCATTCTCAGATTGGAAATCATTTATTAATCGAATTAGTGATTTTACAAATCCCAAGATTTATAAAAAGAAAATTTACAGGACAAGCAAAGACTAACTTTTAGGAATAGTAGTCGTTCCTTAGAATAATTTTTTATGCTTATTAATCCCTGTATTCATATTAATGGATATTTTTTACTAGAAAAGTTTTTATGGAGCAAATTAATTACAAAAAAATGTGTAAGACCATACAAAACAGCTTTTGCTTGGTTGTGCTCAGAGAATTAGCAACTATGACTGATCATGAATTATTGGTCATCGTAGTAAAGAATATAGACCCATACATGTCTATTTTATATTCTTTGATTATAGCAAAGAATATAGATGCATATATATTCTTTGGTTTTAGGCTGACAGCCACTGTTTGAGTTTATGCAGTCAACCTCTTAAAGAATTGTTTTGAAGTATAAACTGTAACCAAATCGCCCATTTGAACTGTTCTTTATATGCATCTATACCCTTTGATTATAGCCTCAACAATTTTGAGATTATAATGACCAATAACTGTAGCCCTTGTTCCCAAATCCCAAGATCTCAGTACCGATGAAAAGCAAATAATATGCAACAGTTGCCGTTCAAGGATACACATTGCAGAAAAATGCTCTGGCTTGTCCACATCCAAGATACAGGCATTTATTTTGCAGAAATGTCTACTCATGTACTTTTGTACCTACCTGATGCCTTTTCCACAGTCAAAGGAAACCAACAGCACACACATACCTGATGCCTTTAATAGTGTACCTATGTTTGTGCAAAGATTTGCCAAGCTGGAAGAAGAAATCACCAGTCTCAAAGAAAGGATTACATTAATGGAAAACAACAATTCACAGATAACATCCAATTCAGTTTTTTATGAAGTACAACAAAGTATAGATAAAGTTTAAAATATTATGATTTATAAAATTCCTGAAATAACTCTAATGTATTAGCTGATCTCATTAGCTATGGCAAATCTCAGGTGTGTGAGGTTTTAGTTTACTTGGCTTATAGCAAGAGGAATCCACCATATCACATGGTATCTGAGTTGGCAAGTGTCCAGTTACATTCAAGCAAATTGGATCTTTGGGTCTAGTAATAAGCTTCGAAATACTGTTTATAGAATCTCTAAGGATCACTAGAACTAGAGGAAAGAAAATCTGCTGGCGATGAATCTATGCATTAGATACCGCATTGGTGTTCCTACAGTTTGTGAAAACAAAAAAAACTAGTATCCTTCCTATTAACAGTTTTTTTATCAATATGTTGGAGGCTTTCATACACAGATTTCTGAAATCCTGAAAAGTATTTCCTGCTGCTTGTTCAATATAATTATTTTAGTGAAGAGTAACTTGAATGATAACATAACTGATTGTGAAAGTAAATGTGATGGTTTTAGTATCTACAGATGTGATAGATCCTAGAGAACCAGTGCATAGTTGAGTGGAAGCTAAAATCACAAACCATTATTATTTGTGAAGATCGGGTTGAGCAAACATATATCTTATGTCAACTTAAAAGTCAAGAGAAGACTCTAGAGAAAAAATATGCTGACTATATTTATTTTAATAATAGTTCTGATGATGACTATATTAGATTTTCCCACCTAAGAGGTGAATGTAAACAACTGTTGGAAATTTGCTTCAGCAACTATATTACAGGTATAGGTACTGGCCTAAGAATGATCCAAAATCATTTTAGAAGTATATTAATGATAAGCGATCTAGTCATGACCTACCTAACTCCTTATATTATCAAGTCCAATCTGCAACAAATGAGCTGCCCAATAAGCCTACTGCTGGCCCAGATAGAGTGCCTAATTTTTTATTAAAAAAGTGTGTCTGTACCCTTGTAATGCCATTTGTTATATTGTTTAATAGATCTATGAAGACCTCTATGTTTCTTTCTTCATGGAAAGAAAGTTATTGTTGTTCCTATATTTAAAAATGGCCAGAAAGACAACATTGAAAATAAATTATTGTAGCATTTGTACACAATCTGCAATCCCTAAGCTCTTCGACTGTTTTATAGCAAACCAACTTTCTTGGTTATGTAAAGGCTTAATATCTCAATCACAACATGGTTTTCATAGCAAAAAATCCACTGCAGCCAACTTGGTTTGACATCAATCTGATATCAAAGAATATAGACGCTTAATCTAGAATATAATCTATAATCTAGAATATAGACGCTAAGCGTCTATATTCTTTGCTGATATATTCAGCCCTATTCTGTAACTACAAATCGAATAGAAATGAGTCAAATCGAGTAGAAGTCAGCAAGTCGGATCGGAATTGGTAGGAATCGGTATTCTGTAACTCATCTTGACCTCTACTATCGGAATGTTGTGTAGAAATTGATTTCGACTAGACAAGCTCTGTCGAGATCAAATTTCGACATCGAAATTGGTCTTGACGCTTGCGCATTGGTTGTTTTGACATTTATTTGTTGACTTTTTGATCTAATAGCGGTTGATTAATTTTTGTAGCTACTTCATTTTTTAGTCTGTGGTGTTATTTATTTAGATAAAGTTTACTAAATAATTTAACTGATCAGCAAATGTCTTTTTCTTTACTTTCCCGCTTGCCATTTTGTATTCTTGTAACGAACTTTTCAAACTTAACCAAAACATGTCAAAACTACTTGACTTGAAATATAATCTTCTTTTTTGATGAATTTTTCGCGAGCACTAGCCTTTCCAGTAACTTAACGTCACAGAACACTTCTTTCGCGTTTCAATGCGGGGTTGCCACCAACTTCTGAGCGCGTCAAGTAGAAGTTGACGTTTTCGATTTACACCGATTACAATGTGAGTTACAGAATGACAATCCAAACACAAAAACGACGCGATAGATATCCAACATTCCGATTTCGAGTAATTACGATTCGACTTGGTGATTTCTATTCGATTTGTCAAAAGTTACAGAATAGATCTAATTATCTCATATGGATGACCGTAAACAGTTAAATGCAATATACACAGATTTTTGTAGGCTTTCATGTCAGGTTTGTTGAATGGATTTTAAAAATTCTGCATCTAGTAGAAGTCAAAGAGTCAAGATAGGTTGTTATCTGTCTGACAGTAACATCTGGAGCTGAAGTTCCTCAAGGAGCCACACTTCTTTTAAATATCTTCGTTAACGCCAGCACTTCCTGTTTCCTAAATAGTAAATAAGTATGAGCGGAAATAATGTTCTACTATAATCTTTCTCCTCAGTTATGAGAACCATTTTTATGACGGTTTTGATATATTTTTTTAATATATTAATGAGCACTGTTTATATAATAGTTAATCAGATCTATTCTGTAACTTTTGACAAATCGAATAGAAATCACCAAGTCGAATCGTAATTACTCGAAATCGGAATGTTGGATATCTATCGCGTCGTTTTTGTGTGTGGATTGGCATTCTGTAACTCACATCGTAATCGGTGTAAATCGAAAACGTCAACTTCTACTTGACGCGCTCAGAAGTTGGTGGCAACCCCGCATTGAAACGCGAAAGAAGTGTTCTGTGACGTTAAGTTACTGGAAAGGCTAGTGCTCGCGAAAAATTCGTCAAAAAAGAAGATTATATTTCTCGTCAAGTAGTTTTGACATGTTTTGGTTAAGTTTGAAAAGTTTGTTACAAGAATACAAAATGGCAAGCGGAAAAGCAAAGAAAAAGACATTTGCTGAGCAGTTAAATTATTTAGTAAACTTTATCTAAATAAATAACACCACAGACTAAAAAATGAAGTTGCTACAAAAATTAATCAACCGCTAATTTATATCAAAAAGTCAACAAATAAATGTCAAAACAACCAATGCGCAAGCGTCAAGACCAATTTCGATGTCGAAATTTGATCTCGACCAATGACGTATAATATATAGACTCGGTGAACGCTTTAAAAAGTGTCCAAAACATGAATACCTTTGTTATTGTTTATTGTTTTGATACGAAGATGCACGAAGTTCATGATTTCTTACGAAGCATCACGAAGTTGATCTTGTGTTTGAAAACATCATGGACGTACTCCATTTTGTGTGAGAAGCAAATTTTATTTTAAATTGTTGATAGTTATTTACTTACTATTTTAGTAAAATGCCATACTATTTTATCAAAATAATTATTTCTCTTATAGACGGGAACAAAAAGAAATCATAAATATTTAATTTTAATTAAAAAAATAATTATTGTCATTAACATATAAATGAGCACGCCGCTGTTCTAATAAACATACCTTCAACCTTGAGCCGAGATCTTTCGGACACTCGATTCTATAGCGAGAATAGGGGACTGCGTAGTCTATATTATACGTCATTGATCTCGACATAGCTGGTCTAGTCGAAATCAATTTCTACACAACATTCCGATAGTAGAGGTCGAGATGAGTTACAGAATACCGATTCCTACAAATTCCGATCCGACTTGCTGACCTCTACTCGATTTGACTCATTTCTATTCGATTTGTAGTTACAGAATAGAGCTGAATGACAAATAAACCCAATTAAATAAATACGTATTGCGTGTACGAACAAGAAAAAAACAATTAGGTACTGTTTTATGCTTTGTATTTGAAGATATACGTATATTAAATTATGAAAATAAAAAAGCCAATGCAGGAAGAAATAAAAACACATT